GTAGACATATATAAGGGTCTTAATTTGTTATCCATTGAGTCACCATGTCTTTTGATTGGAGCATTTAATCCATTTGCCTTTAAAGAAGTTGTTGATAAATATGTATTTATTGGTATTTTATTATTCATATTTTTTATTCTTCTTCTAAAAGAAGACCCTTTTAGCACTTCTTATAATACTGGTTTGGTGGTAATGAACTTTTTTAGATTTTCCTTGTCTGGGAACTTCCTTATCTGTCCTATAACTTTGCTGGGTAGAGTAATCTTGGTTGTAGGTTTTTAATTTTCATCACTTTGAATATTTCATGCCACACCCTTCTGGTCTGCAAAGTTTCTGCTGAGAAATTAGCTGACAGTCTTATGGGAGCTTCCTGCTAGGTAACTAACTGCTTTTCTCTGGCTGCTTTTAAGATTTTCTGTCTTTAATCTAAAGTTCTATTGTTTTAAGCCACCCAGTTTGTGGTAAGTTGGTACAGCAGCCCTAGGAAACTTCAAACTCTTTAGATAATTTGAGAGCATACTAGGGTAGAACCGATTTTCCTCAGCAAGTTGACTATCATATCTTGGTCCTAACATTGTCTTCAGAGGTAAGAATCTTCCTGCCAGCCGAAACCAGTTTGGCTCAGTGGATAGAGCGTCGGCCTGCGGACTGAAGGGTCCCAGGTTCGGTTCCGGTGGCGGGCATGTACCTTGGTTGCGGGCACATCCCCAGTAGGAGATGTGCAGGAAGCAGCTGATCGATGTTTCTCTCTCATCGATGTTTCTAACTCTCTATCTCTCTCCCTTCCTCTCTGTAAAAAATCAATAAAATATATTTTTTTTAAAAAAAAAAGTATCTTCCTGCCACAGTTGAGCCATCGAGGGGGGATCTTGTTGTGAGCCATGACTCAGAGCCAAGTGAGCCTCTTTGCACGGAACTGCGTGGCCTCCAAACCCTGGCCGAGGTCCGGATTCCAGCCGCTCCCACCGGGATAACATAAGTGGCTGTGCACCACTTTCATTATATCCAAGTATCTTTTTAAATCTAGTTGTGTGTTTTTTAAAATATGATTTTAGAGAGGAAGGGAGAGGGGTAGATAGAAACATCCATGAGAGAGAAACATGAATCATCGCCTCCTGCACGGCCCCCCCTGGGGATCTAGCCAGAAACCCAGGTATGTGTTCTGACCAGGAATCGAACCAGTGACCTCTTGCTTCATGGATCAACGCTCAACCACTGAGCCACACCAGCCGAGCAAGAAAGCTAAGTATTATGATAATATAAATATGTGCAAATAAAACGGTGTCTATAACAAGGACTGAAATTACGCATTTTAACTGTTATAAATGGCTGATGTCTGGCTTTTTACAATCTCCCTCCAGCCCTGCTGGAGCCCAAGCTTCTAAGCAGAACGTACTCCAGCCTTTAGTGTCAGCTCCTATGCTCTCTTTTCCTAGAGAATCTAAATAATGGAGAAAAGTCTTAAATTATTCTACAAAATAGTTGAATCAGGAAAGTGAAAATTAGAATTATTTTACTTCTGATTGCTGGACTGTATGTATGTCTTTGAATGGGCTCAGCAGTGAATCTAGGACAGGGGTGGGCAAACTTTTTGACTCGAGGGCCACAATGGGTTCTTAAACTGGACCGGAGGGCCGGAACAAAAGCATGGATGGAGTGTTTGTGTGAACTAATATAAATTCAAAGTAAACATCATTACATAAAAGGGTATGGTCTTTTATTTCAATAGTTTTATTCATTTCAAACGGCCGGATCCGGCCTGCGGGCCATAGTTTGCCCACGGCTGATCTAGGACATATGGACTGCCCCTACCCTGCTTTTATGTAAGTTACATCCATATAAATAGGTAGAATGAAGTTAAATATATATACCTGATATGCGGGAAATAATTTAACATATGCCAAAACATCTGCATGTTTGTCTACGCACACATATATTTAACAATAATTTTAGACCAGCTGTTTGAATCCAACAAACTCAAAAAGCCATTGGCTAAAATAACTAAATATGAAGACAAAGCACATTTAAAGAGCTTGGGAAATTTTTGAAATCATTATTTTAATTGGTGAACATGGTTTTCTTTTTAAGCCAAACAGACATAGGTTCAAATCCCAGCTCTTCCACTTACTGAGTGACTTTGAACAATACAACCCCAGATTGCTGATTGGTGAACCAGAGCTAACTCCTGCTTTAAGAACATGGTGACTAAGACATCAAACATGTAGTAGCTAGCATGATATTCATTCACAAGCCAATAAATGCCGAAAAAACAGAAGTTAGTTAATTGCACAGACATCAACACAGTCTCAAATGTGGGTGGAATGTTATACCCCACAATCTGGTTAGGGTGCATTTTTTCCCCTTCTATATACAGTTCTCCCCTCAGGAATGGAGCCTTGACTTTCCCCCTAGTGCTTTGGAATTATTGAGGATTAGTACAGCAACAAATTTGGCCCTTGTTTGCTGAAAAACACATGTTGCCTCAGTATTGCCACAAATCTGCCAGTTCTACATGGACCCTGTTCTCAGAGGCCAAACAGGTGGCATGACAAAAAGCATTCTCTGCAAGACCAGCTGAGCCCTCTTTGCCTGTGTCAAATCTACTCCCCCCAAGCCAGAACAGTAATTATGAACTACTGTTATCCTGTTATACAGGGAGTACCTTGTCAGTGAGCCGTCAGTGAGCCCGAGTCCTGAGTCTGGACTGCTAACAAATGACAGTATGGTTTGGGGGGCAGGAGTTCACTGAAAGATCCTTGATTCTGAATTCCAGTTCATCTTTACTTAAATTAGTAGCTGGGGACTAAACTAAATCTTACCCAAAAATGGAAACGGAAAATTTCCAGGAAGGTAAAGTTAGCCAGATACACCAGTTTGGAGAAATACTCAGGAGATTTACTCCATGTTGTGGTGGCTGTTCTCTAAGCTGACACACATAAAGAATAACCCTTTCTGAAGTATGTTTAAAATGTGTGGTGTTAAATCTCAAAACTTTTACCAAACCGGGTTCAACCAGTTCTTTGGAGATGGCAGGCACTGTCACTCATTCAATAATTAATTATTCAGCACCTGCTATGTAGCAAGCACTGGTCTAGGTCCTGGCGCAACCAGAGTGAATAAGGCAGACAGCGCTCTGGCCCTCATGACATTGACATCCTTTAGGTTGGGACAATAAACTAATAAGCAAATAAGACAAAGAAAACACATATTTTAAGACTGCTAGGTAGGGGAGTATGGAGGTATTATAATAGAAAATAACAGAGGACGTCTACATATACTGGGTGATTAAGAGGGTGAAATTTAGGCTGAGATCTGAAGAAAAATAGGTTTATGAAAAGGATAGGGCCGGGGATAGGGACAGCATTCCAGGCAGGGGAGCATGACAAGAGCAAAATTCCGACATGTCATATTAAATTACAGCAGGCTAGCAGAAGCTTTCAAGGAGTAACATGATAGAGGGAGGAGAGGAGGTGACAGGAGTGTGGAGGAGAACCAAAGTGAAGCAGACCAGGGAAGAGGCCATGTCAGTAACCCAGGCAAGAAAGTGTGGTGGTTGGACTGGATGGTGGCATTGAAAATGTAAAGATAATTCTATATTTTAAAGGTAAGACCTACAGAACTGATAGATCAGAAGTAAGAGGTAGGAATCAAGACCATTCCCAGGTTTCTGGCTTGAAAATAATAAATGGATGGTAGTATCATTTTTAGGGAAGACTGATGGAAAAATAAATTTTAAAGAATTCAGAACCTGACTTTGGAAATGTTAAGCTTGAGATGCCCACGCGACACCCTACTGCCCATTTGTTGCTCTACCTGGGAGCAACTAAAACTCTGAAAAGTAACAGACAAAACTAGCCATTTTTTTTTACATTTATTTATTTATAACATTTTATCATTTTTATTTTCAATTACAGTTGACCTACAATATTGTTTTGAGTGTATGCCCCAGTGATTAGACATTACATAACTTAAGTGATCATCCCAACAAATCTTGCACCCACCTGACACCAAACATAGTTATTATTTACTATATTCCCTATTCTGTACTTTACATCCCCATGACTATTCTGTAACAACCAATTTGTACTTCTTAACCCCTTCACCTCTTCTCCCATTTCCCTAACCACCGACCCATCTAGCAACCATCAACATGTTCTCTGTATCTATGAATGTTTCTGTTCTGCTTATCTTGTTTTGTTTTGTTGTTTTCTATTTATCTTGTATTTAGATTCACTTGTTAATAGCTATGTATTTATATTTTATTGTTCATATTTTTTATCTTCTTCTAAAAGAAGACCATTTAACATTTCATTTAATGCTGATTTTGGGATGATGGACTCCTTTAGCTTTTTCTTGTCTGGGAAGTTCTTTACCTTATATATATGCTCAAACAAAAGAGGCCTCGTGCCAATTAGCGACGTCCATGCTACCTTAACATAAGCAGGTTATATATAAGGATGCGCTTGCACAGTATGTATAGTGCTACTGCTGAGTCATTGCCCTGGCACATGCGTGGGGGGCCTTTAACATAGCAATGCTGCTTGTCAGTGCCTGCACGCATGCGTATGGCAAATGGGCCTTTAACCTCCAGTGTACTCTGGTCAGGGCCCCCACACAATCCCATAACAATCTTCTCCCTTCTCTAAATTAATATATACTCATTTGGTATTTAAAATGAAGGAGATATAAACTCTGAGAAGAGGCAGAAGCAGCTTCCAATAGCCTCTGGTCCAAACAGTCATCTCTGAGGCTCTGAGATAGAAGTGGCACAAGTGAACAGTAACAGCACTGGGACTGGAACTGAAGCCTCAAAACTTTCATGTTATTCAATTCTAAAAATATTTACCAAGTATTCATCATGTCTAAGGCACTATAAATTTTAAGTTTCCATCAATATGCCATTGACTTAATCAACAAAAATCACTAGGTACTCTGCTTAGAATAAAGACTTTGCCCACAAGGAATCCAGGGTGGTGAAAATCAAAAAAGTAAAGTAACAATTGCAGTGAAGTGATTTTTAATCTATACAAAACAGGCTCTCTAAATGATACTGATACATTACAAATTTGGTTTTAAAATAGATGTGAATTTAATACAAGTCTTATAATGATTACAATGAATCAGGCACTCCAGAACAATGTAGAGGTACAGTAATTATGTGATGGCGTCTTAATAGTCCAAGGGGCTAAAGATATTTTTCAAATATGGATAGAAACTGAGTATTTCTATAGTATTAACCCCTAAGGGCTATTCTCCTTTATAGACTACAATATTATTATCAGTTTCATATACTTTCACTTTATAAAGAATTCCCATAGGAAGAAATTTCTGGAGGTTATCCCAGATATACACAGCTACATTTTCTGTTGTGCTGTAGAGAAAAGGAGAGAAGATCAAAAGACAAATAAATAAAATTTCAGGTTTAATATTTACAGAGAACAGAAATTCTATTTTTAAAAGGTGTCATTAAACAAAAACTTTAGAAATCACACAGCAATCAAATAAAATGTTAACATTCTTCTTTCTTATTCTCTATACTAGAGGCCTGGTACACGAAATTCGTGCTGGGCAGGGGGGAGGGTTGTTCTCAGCCCAACCTGCACCCTCTCCAATCTGACCTCTCAGGGGAAGTCCGACTGCCGGTTTAGGCCCGTTCCTATAAGGAGCGGGCCTAAACCGGCAGTCGGACATCACTCTCACAATCCGGGACTGCTGGCTCCCAACCACTCACCTGCCTACCTGCCTGATTGCCTCTAACCACTTTTGCCTGCCAGCCTGATTGCCCCCAACCACTCCCCTGCCAGACTAATTGACACCTAACTACTCCCCTGCTGGCCTGGTATCCCCCAAATGCCCTCCCCTGCAGGCCCGGTCCCCCCTAACTGCCCTTCCCTGCCAACCATCTTGTGGTGGCCATCTTGTGCAAGGGCATGACAGTCAATTTGCATATTACTTTTTTTAAAATATATTTTATTGATTTTTTTACAGAGAGGAAGGGAGAGAGATAGAGAGTTAGAAACATCGATGAGAGAGAAACATTGATCAGCTGCCTCCTGCACATCTCCCACTGGGGATGCGCCCGCAACCCAGGTACATGCCCCTGACCGGAATCGAACCCGGGACCCCTCAGTCCGCAGGCCAGCGCTCTATCCACTGAGCGAAACCGGCTTCGGCGCATATCACTTCTTTATTATATAGGATTAGGTAAGATAATCACACTCACCTTACAACATCTGCAAAGTATGGTACATCTAAATCCAGATTCTTATGATCAAGGGGTTTCATGATTGCCTCCTACAGACAAAAGAGAGGAAAAATATCAATTCCATTTATGATTCAGATTCCAAAGTGTTCCACCTTTTCCTCTAAAACTTATCATTCAGCCACTAACTCAATACTTTTATTGTACACTTTATCTGTCTTACAAAGCCATTTCAGACAGTTTAAAATTATGAAATAACGTAAGCTCTCCATAATGACTGTTTATCCTCCTTACTGAGTGCAAAGAGGTTAAGAAACCAATAAGTAGAGGATTCACTGGAGTTTTCTCATAACAGCCACTGTGATCCAGAATTCAGTTTCACATCCTTGCATTCTGTCCAAAAAGTCACCAAAAATACCACTCCATAGAGTATCACCTTTCAGACAATGCCACAGTGTCACTAGGAGAAAGATTCAGTGAGTACTACATTTTATAAGGCAGACTAAAACTGATATTACATTAAGAGTTCTAAATTTCCGCTATAAGGAGTAATTTAAAAATGATCTTGAGCCCTTAGAAGAAAAAATATAAAACATAAATGCATTTCTTCCTAATGCTTATATATTAACATGGTTTCCCTTATCAATGTCAAGAATTATAATTGCTTTATTCTAAGTTTTTAGCTATATTGTACAAAAGCTAAGCATTTTCTACATTTTTACTTTTAGCTATATTGTGCAAAATCAAAACAATCTAATTTTCCATAATGTCTAACAAGTATACATTAATAATAAAAATAGCAATCATTTTTTGAGAAAAATCATAATCATAAAAATAATAAGTCCTAAACCAAACCACCTTCAAAATAGATTAAGTGATATCTACATAGATATCAAGAAAAGAAATATCTTTGTTTTATCTTCAATTCCAGCTCAAGTCCCAACTTTTCCACTGCAGTGTCTTTAACAGGATTCTGGCTTTGCTCTGTATGCCATGATAAGCCACTTTTACTGATGGGAGTGTGTGGTGTCTTCAAGGTGGTAAACAAAGGTGTATTTAATCATGATGCTTACTTGGGGCATCTCATATTTCTCATACTGCTGTCTTAAATGTCACTCTATGTATTTGTAAGAACTCTGTCTTTATAGCTTTCCAAAGGCACTTTGAGCACAGTGCTGTTTATTCATTCATTAACTCTCTATTCATTTATTCAACCAACTTACTGAAAACTTTTTTTTTTGCTTACACTTTTCATTCAATATTATTTTGTATTATTTTCAGGTGTACAGCATAATGGTTAAATAACCATATACTTTACAAAGTGTTCCCCTGATGTTTCCAATACCCACCTGGCACCATACATAGTTATTACAATATTATTGACTATATTTCCTATGCTGCACTTTACATCCCCATGACTATTTTGTAACTACCAATCTGTACTTCTCAATCCCTTCATCTTTTTCACCCTGTGAGAACTTACTGTTTACCTCCTAGAAAAAAATAACATGAGCATTCTGTGGGAAAGGGCTCTGTCCCATTCATCTTTGCATTCCTAGTACTGAGCCCAAACACTGATGCAAAGTAGGCAAACTTAAATATATGGATGATAATTATTATGAAATAAATAATGATTATTAAACAGCATTTTTATGAAACAAAGTTTAGAAATAAGGAAGGAGCAGACCTGAAGCAAAGAACTAAATAAACAGGTGAAATGATGACATAATAAAAGCTAAGCTGGATACAAGCAAATCTACTCCCAACTTTGTAAAGGAGTAACTATATGACCTAGAGTTAACTGTTTAGCATCTCTCAAACAATATATGGCATGAAGAAATTACTTAGATATTATCTATAGTCTCTTACAATGCAAGAATTCTAAAGTGATACAATCAGTAAGTCCTTTATTGAACACATTCTTTTGTGTTACCCTTATGATGAACTGCCCCAGTGACTTTATAATCAACTAGAGTGACTAAAACAGGGTAGTGTTAAAATATATGATCAAAGGCATAAGGAAAAATCAGAGAGAAAAAAGAAAACTTCAAAAAGAAAGCTGTATCTTGAAAGAACAGTAGAAATTGTTAAATGTAGGAAATCAGGAATGGCAGCAAGGAATACAAGATGAGCACGCTACATTTATCTCCATCACTGTAATACAATGATGACTAATTTCCATTAAGTCACCCAAACACCATTAGAAGAACATGAAAGCAGTTCTTCCAACTACTCCCCTACTCCCACACCCAATCCCACTCACCCCATCATGGAACTCTGGAGTTACTTGGTTGGGAAAGTGAAAAGCAAGTAACTGATGGGAGTTACTTAGGGGACGGCACACAATAAGCACCAAACATGCCATTACCTCCATATACCCTTTGAGGTCAGTCAAATTCATAACCATGCCTGTAACAGGATCGACCTAGAGAATAAATAGAGGAGAATATTACTATAACGTGCTCTTCATGTTTAAACCTCTGGTAAATGATTAAAGGCTGTACAACGTGCAGAAATTGAGCCCACATTTGCCTTCACCCCCAGCACATCATCAGTCTCGTCATGGGAACACCAGGTGCTCCCGCCATCCTTGCATTGTATTGCTCTTCTACCTGCCCACAGACAGCACATTAAAGGTGACACTGGGAGAGGAAAGGCCTGGAATGGCAGCAACTCGCCAGACACAAAGGACAACAGTGAAGCAATAATGATTTGAACAGAATTTTTCACACTGAATCTGTCACATTGGCAGAAAGAGGGCCCACACAGATATATTCAGCACATACCTCTCCATGTACTGTCACCACAACTACGGGAAAGAAAACAAAATACCAAAAGACCAACATGACTTTACATCCAAGCACAAGTTAGCAACATAAATTATTAGATCTCTGCCCCCACAAAGCTATATTTCTATTTCCCCAAAAAACATCTGTCCTCTTAGTTAAGGTTGTTTTATCAACCAAAGCAAGAGTCAACCAAGACAGAAGAGCTTAGTAGGAGCTTTAGCTAAGCAGAAGAGCTCAGCCAAAGCCAAGAAGGGTGTCAATTCTGCTGATGATGCTGATGGCACTAGTTAGAAATCTCCACGAGAAAGGATCAAGGTGCTGCCCAATCGCTACCTGGAAAAGTAAGAAATGCACAGGAAGAAGTCCGGCTGCACACCTGCCAGTACCTTTTGGGCAGTACCTTTCTAAGCAAGCAAAACTACTAATTAAAACTCTTTTTGGGGAGGCAGGGGACTAAAACTCTTATCCCTTTACTTAGATGAATGTATACAGTTTACAGTAATGCTTTGTAAATTAACAAGTGCTTGTATGAAGCACTTGAAAAATCATGATAATAGAATACTTTACAAATTAAGAACTTTCATATTTTTTTCAGCTCCATACAAACACCATGTGATATTATATGATAAATGAACAAGCTAACAATGAGAGGTATCATAGATCAAGTACCAGTAAGAGGCAGTAACTAAACTGGAAATCCTGATCTTCTGATACCTCTCCTGGTCTTACTCCACCATACTGTATGCTGTGATGGCTTATGGACCTGTTTTTTGAGACATCAGCTATATTTCAAACAATCAACTCTCTTATCCTATATAATAAAAGTGTAGGTGGGGGTCACGTGCAACGTCGCCACAAGACGGTCACCATAAGATGGCCGGCAGGGAGGGCAGTTGTGGGCAAACAGGCCAGCAGGGAGGGCAGTTGTGGGCAACTAGGCTGCAGGGGAGGGCAGCTGGGAGCAACCAGGCCTGCAGGGGAGGGCGGGCGATCAGGCCAGCAGAGGAGGGCAGTTGGAGGCAAGACCAGGCCAGCAGGGGAGGGCAGTTGGGGTGATCAGGCCGACAGGGGAGGGCAGTTGGGAGCGATGGGGCAAGCAGGGGAGCAGTTAGGTGTCAATCAGGCCAGCAGGGGAGTGGTTAGGGGGCGATCAGGCTGGCAGGCAAAAGCGGTTAGGGACAATCAGGCAGGCAGGCAGGTGAGTGGTTAGGAGCCAGCAGTCCCGGATTGTGAGAGGGATGTCTGACTGCCTCAGGGATCGGGCCTAAACCGACAGACATCCCCCAAGGGGTCCAGATTGGAGAGGGTGCAGGCCGGGGTAAGGGACACCCCCCCCCCACATGAATTTTGTGCAGTGGGCCTCTAGTTCTGATATAAATGAATTACTTTCTTGAACACTGCTGGCAAAGTTTTCAACTCAACCTACTTTCTTCCATACAGCATACTCCCAACCAACATCCCCCTTTTGTCAGTCATTACTTATTCAAATATACAATCTAATTTTAATATTAGCCTCAGCAACACCTAATTAGAATGAAACATGTGCCTAAAAAAATCTCAATATGTGCACTAAAGCCAAAAAAATTTATTTAAACCATTCATTGGACTATCTATCATAGCAGACAATTAATTGCAAGGTAAAAGCTAAAATACATCCCACCAAGGCAACAGCTCTTTTCATTCTGAACTTCCACTTAACTTCTCATTCACATCTCAAAGCACTACTGCTCTTCCTGAAAGTTTTTTTACTCATTAAGATTGTATTTGCTAAAGATTTTTCCACTCTTATTGAAAGGGCTAAAATTTCATCAGTTTTCCTCTCACCTTTGTAATTGTGCCCATGACCATTTGGATTGTTGCATTTTCCAAACAGTTTCAAGTTTTCTTCATTACTCAGAGATTTGCTGACCAGGAAAAATAAAAGTCAATATAAGCTTCACAATTTATTAATACTTTAGCTCATCAAATGGAGAATCATAAATCAACTGGGTTTCATTATTCAGCTTTATGTCAGGAACCACTGTATGCCCCCCAATTAGACTATCACGCCATACAAATTAGCATAAGCAAATTCAACCCCCTTGTTCCACAGCAAGACTCCAAAACCTGATCTGCTCAAGGCCCTTCCATTTCTCAACATTTACTGAGTACTTACTACGTATTAGACACAGCTGAATGATAAAAGATGCCTGTCGTCAAGTGGTTTAAATTCTCATTGCTGCCCTAGGTGGTTTGGCTCAGTGGATAGAGCGTCAGCCTACAGACTGAAGGGTCCCGGGTTCAATTCCCTTCAAGGCATATGCCCAGGTTGTGGGTTCGATCCCCAGTGGGGGCATTCAGGAGGCAGCCAACCAATGATTCTCTCCCATAATTAATGTTTCTCTCTCTCTCCCACTCCATTCCTCTCTCTGAAATCAATAAAAAATTTTAAAAAATAAATTCTCATTGCTCCTGAAAAATAATTACATGACCTATTAGTCTCTCCTATAACAATCTTGCTTTATCATGCCTCCTCTGAAAACTTCACCAGTCCATTGAGGGGCATTCAAATCAGGGGACACTTTACAATTACAATACTCAACTGTTGTTCCAGGCAGAGAGCACCTTGCTTAATGGATTTATATGCCTATACCTGTCCAGTCATTGCATCTTTAACGAGTCCTTACTACCCTCATACGTTCAAGCTTTCCATTATACATCCCCTTTCTGGTTGAGACCCTCGTTATTAGTTCCCCCACCTTCTCCTGCGCCTGCACTTCTTACGCTTAAAATGCTACAGATCACAAAGCTTTTGCACACAATTATCTCACTGTACCTTCCACAGTAGTGACCAGATGGTACACTCCACCCAGAAGGCAGTGACGCGTGCGCACTGCTCAGGGCTGCACCGTTATCTGGCACAAGGCCTGACAAGCACGCAAGATACCTCTTCAGTAAATGACGTTTGGACCTTGCTAGGTAGAAATTATCCTCATTTCACAGATGGGGGAGTGGGTGCTCAGAGTGGGGCTTGCTCATGAGGAACAAAACTCTCAAAATCAACTTTAGCCCTGCAGGCCTGCCTCAGTCTTAGGCGTCAACCTGTGGGCCCGATCCTGGTTCCACGCCTGGTGGGGGCACATGCCCCGGTTGAGGGCTGGATCCCTAGTAGGAGGCCTGCAGGAGGCAGCGGATGGATGATTCTCTCTCATCACTGACGTTTCTCTCTCTCTCTCCCTCTCCCTTCCTCTCTGAAATCAATAAAAGTATTTAAAAAAAAAAAAAAAGAACCAACTCTAGTGCCATCAAGCTGTGGGATCGAATTGCAACTGTGCTGCTTGCTCTCAGAGCTGTCTTAGGAAGGTGAACGTCCTGGTTCATTTGTCTTAGGTGCCGAGAGGATAACACGCGCTGTATTTAGATGAGTTACGGTAGCTGACACCTACAGAGCGTATACTATGCACGCGGCACGGTGTGATCGGGCGAGGTGAGCCCCTGCGGCCGTTACCGCCTCGCTCGAGATCACGAGATCAGGAGCCAGCGCCTTTTCCCTCGCAGTCGGCTCCACGGCCCACCATGTGCACCGCCTCCTCCGGAGCCCGGTCTCTTGACTAGGCTCCTAACGGTGTCGCCGAAAGACCCTGACGCCCAAGGGACGAGCGGGCGCGCCGCCCCCACCTCCGAGCGGACACCGGCGCCCCGCGCCCCGCGCCGGGCCC